GTGAGTTTGGTTTTTTTGGTTTTAGTGGTTATATGGTAGGTCTGGTGGCATAGTGCCTAAGGCATTTGACTGCTAACCAGAAGAATAGCGGTTCCAACCCACGAGCCACTCCTTGGAAGGACGATTGAGCAATCTACTTCCATAGAGATACCACCTCAGAAACTCAAGGAGGGGTCACTGTGAGTTGAATTTGACTCAACAGCAGTGAGTTTGGTTTTTGGTTTGTTTGTTTGTTTGTTTGTTTACTCATTGTATGTAAAAAAAAAAAAAAAAAGATGTTATGATAGTAAAATGGATGAGTATGCACTCATCAGAACAGTCAAGCATATGAGATCAAAAGAACAGTGTTTACCCAGGAATAGAGCTAGGAAGGTTAGAGGGAATGGGAAGGAGGGATGAAGGGAAGGGATGGTCACAGGGAGGAAGTGGGAAGAATGCTGTTACAGCATGGGGATTGCAGTGAAAGTCACAAAACAGAATAATTATGGGTTGCTGAATAGAAAACCAATTTGCTCTGTAAACTTTCACCCAAATCACAATTTAAGAAAAGGAGAGAGAGAAGGTCAGTTTTAGATATGTAAATGTTTAGAGCCAGTGACATATTCTTATATCCATTTGGGAGGGTGGCAAGGGATAGGGGTACTTTAATACATTAATAGGAGTAATGACTCTACCTGTATTCCAGGTGCTATGCTGTTCTGTGACTTGCCTTAAGATAATATTTAATCAAATAGGAGGTACAATTACTATCCTATTCTACAAAGTATGAAATCCATTTACTTTTAGTCACAAGGCAAAAATGTTGTGGCTATAGCTGGGCAGACCAGGTCTCCTTGTCTTTGCTGAATCATCTTTCTCATATGTAAAATTGGGGTTAGGAAAAGAACGTCTCCTTGTGGGAGTGCCTTACTAACTTTGAGAGATTGGACAGAGGTCACAGTAGGTAATAGTTCAAACTCAGGGATCTTTGGAGAAAAGACAAAAAACAAACCCACTTCCATAGAGACAATTCTAACTCATAATGACCCTACAGTCAGGGCGGAACTGTCCCATAGGGTTTCCAAGGCTGTAATCTTTGCAGAAGCAGACTGCCTTATCTTTCTCCTGTGGAGTGGCTGGAGGATTCGAAATGCTGACCTTTTGGTTACCAGCCAAATTCTGTAATCACTGCACAATCAGGGGTCTTCTCAGCCTGGGCTAAATCCAAGCTCCACTACTTACAGCAGTATGACTTGGGCAAATAAGCCTCACTGTACCTCAATTTCCTCATCTATGAAATAGTATTAATACTATTCCCTAGCTCACAGAGTTATTGAAGGATTAACATGAGTTGAAATGTACCAAGTGTAAAATATATAGAGTGCTTGTATTTTTATAAAAGATTTTTTTTAACATTTTATTGTGATTTAGGTGAAAGTTCACATAGCTAATAAATTAGTTTCCCATTCAACAATTCATACACAAATTGTTCAGTAACATTGGTTGCTGTCTCCACAGTGTGTCAGCACTCTCCCCATTTCCACCCATTTCCATTCCTCAAGTTTCTCTGCTCTTCCTTTCCTTATCATCTGTGCTGTTGGACAAATGTTGCCTGTTTGGTCTCCTATAGTTGATCTAAGGAGCACATTCCTAATATGTGTCATTGTTTATTTTAGGGGCAAATCTATTATTTGGCTGAAAAGTGACCTCTGGGATTGGCTTCTGTTCCAGTTTGAAAGGGTATCTTAAGGCAACAGTCTCTCTTAAATTCTTTATTCTTTTTGTTAAAAAAAATCTTCTCAATGTTTGTGACGGCACTCTTCCCCTTCCTCCCCAGGTTTTTCGCTTCCACTTGCCCATCTCTTCTAGCCCTACCTGCCTTCTGAAATTTGTTTTGGGGCCAGTGCTGTCCATTTGGTCTTATATGGCTGATTGTTCTGAGGAGTATGTTCCTCGCAGGTGGTGGTGTTCACTTTATAGGCCTGTCTTGTACTGCTGAAAGGTGATCTCCAGGAGTGGGTTCAGTTCCAGGTTTGAAGGGTGTCTGAGGACCATAGTTTTCAGGGTTCTACCAGCCTCTGTCAGACTAGTAAGTCTGGTCTTTTTTAAGATTTTGAATTTTGTTTTATGTTTTAAAAGGCACATATTTTTTTACCTACCAACCACACACTAGGAATCTGTCCTAAGGAATGTAAATTGCAGTAAAAAGAAAAGACGTAACTGCAAGAATAGCTCATGCTTTGTCTGTACCAATTGAGAAAAAAATGAAAGAAGTAAACAACTTGAATCCACAACAGTAGTTATTGGTTTGTGTTATATATATATGATGAAACACTTCGTAGCCATTAAAATGCTCTCACATGTGCTATGTGAGCGTATTTAAAGGCCTGAGAAAAAACACAGCCGCCAAAATAAAAGAATTCAAAGAGTGATATGTTGTGTTTTAATAAAATATGTATTATGTTTATTTAATAAAATGTGTGTGTGTGTGTAGGCACAGATAAGATTGAAAACAGATAAATTAAAATGCTATTTTCACCTCAGATTCACAGGTAATTTTCAAACTTCTGTGCTTTTTTATATTTTAAAGTATTCTTTGAAATGTAGTAATATCTGCTTTCTAGGGTAATTGTGAAGATTAGAGATTGTGAAGATCAGAGATGGTATCTATAAAGCACTTAACAAAGTGCCTTTCCCATACTTAATAAATAACATTATTAGTCTCATATAAGCCAATAAGAAAGCTTTAGGCCTTAAGTCCTCAAAATGCAGTCCCTGGCGGCAACAGAATTGACATCACCAGGAACTTTTCACATATGCATATAATCTCATGCCCCACTGCAGACTGACTAAATCTGAATGTGTGCTTTAACAAGATACCCAGGTGTGCATGTTAAAATCAGAGAAGCACTGCTCTAAGCCTGAAGTTCTCAAAACTGTAGTGCATCAGTATCATCTGGAGGTGATTGCTGGGCTCACCTCTGGAGGTTCAGATTCAGTAGGCTGTGATAGGGCCATCAAATTGGCATTTCTAACAAGTCCCCTGGTTTTGCTGCTGCTACTGCTCCAGGACCATACTTTGAGAACTAATCTGATCCCAGGGGGGATTCTCAGCAGTCTGAGCCTGCTTCTGCCTCCCCTACTTCTTTTTATGAGCTAAGAATGGTCTTCACACTTTTAAATGGTTGGGCAAAAATGTAAAGAAGGGTAATATTGTGACATGTGGAAGTTACATGAAATTCAGATTTCTGTGTCCATGAATAAAAAAAAACTTTTTGAAATATAGCCAGCTTGTTCCTTTGTGAATTGTCTATGGCTGCAGTGTTAAGACAGGAGCTTTGGTGGTGTAGGGCTTAAGGCATTTGACTGCTAACCAGAAGGCTGGCACTTCAAATCCACCAGTCACTCCTCAGACAATCAATCTACTTCCATAGAGATACCCAAGGAGAGGTCACTATGAGTTGGTCCAACTCCACAGCAGTGAGTTTGTTTTTTTTCTTGTGTGTGTGGAGTATAAGACAGAGTTGTTGCAACAGAGGCCGTATGGTCAACACAGCCTAAAATATTTGCCATCTGACCCTTTACAGTAAGTTTGCCAACTCCTGTTCTGGGCCATTTAGAATATAACTCACTCACTGCCGTAGAGTCGGATCCGACTCATAGTGACCCCTCCTTGGATTTCCGAGGCAGTATCACTACAGAAGTAGATTGCCCAACATTCCTTCCGAGGAGTGGCTGGTGGATTTGAACTGCCAACCTTCTGGTTAACAGTCACATGCCTTAGGCACTACACCACCAGAGCTCCCAGAATATAATTAGAAACTGAAATTTTAAGAACCCTCCAATATTTGATACATTACAATGTTCGGCAACTATAACTGCACCAAAGTATTGCTATAAAGTTTAGAAATAATGGAGCCTGAAATATAGTCCTTTTTTTTTTTTTTTTGGTATTGATTGCACTACCCTCTTCAAAAACTAGCTTAATTTTAATTTTGCTTCTTGACCATAAAGTAAAGACAAAAATAAAAGGTTTATCTGCTGTAACCTAGGTCATCTCCCATTTACTTTAAGTATACAGGTACTAATTCCATTGAATCTGTTCCCTCTCATGGTGACTCCATGTGTGCAGAGTAGAGCTGTGCTCTGTAGGGTTTTCGGGGCAATGACCCTTCAGAAGCAGATTGCCAGGACTTTTCTTGGCACCTCTGGGTTGGTTCAAAGTGCCAGCCTTTTGGTTAGTAGTCAAGTGCTCCTGTTGGCACCAGCCAGGGACTTTATCCTTTGAGTATGGTCATTAATTTTCATTTAAATGTATGATCTTGAGCTAATTTGAATGATCAGTGTTCTTTCTTTTTATTGATTTCTGGCAATAGCTCTTCTTGTCAAGTGAGAAGTTTAGGTTTTGAAGCTAAAAAAGCCCATAAATTGTCTCAGCAGACCTTGTGTTTCACCAGTTCCTAAGGGGAAACAAAAATAACTCACCAAAATCACTATGCAGAAGCCACCACCATCTGGCTTGGAACCTCATCTCCAGAGCTACAGTGAGCAGGAGTAAGGAGCACTGGTCCTGAGCACTAGCACCAGTGAGGTCAGGCTCAAGGAGTAATGCTGCATCGGAAAAAAATACCCTTCCTTGTAGTCCCCTTCCTCAAGCTTGCAACCTAATAATTTTAGTACTTCAGAATAATGTTTGTAAAAATGGGATGAAATGGGATGATATTTTCAGGGGGAAAAAAATATTACATCATTTGATACCATTGTCTATCTTCCCTTTTTCACTCTTTTTACTGTTAATACCCATGTTGTTGTTGTGTTACTATGTGCCATTGAGTCAGACCCAACTCATAGAGACCCCTCCTTGGGTTTCTGAGGCAGTATCACTATGCAAGTAGATTGCCCAACCTTCCTTCCGAGAATTACCCATGTTAGGAGTATGAAATCTAGGATGGAACTGTAATAGCATGAAGTAAAAATCAAATGTGTGAATAGTTCACTCATTTCTTAACTTTTCCAATTAGCAAACTTTGGGGGCTCAAATGCAAGGTGGTTTTGGATGTGGCAGCAGCCAGTTGCCAAAAACAGATGGAGGGAGTGAAACCAAGAAACAGCGAAACAAACGGTCTCAGAGAACTGGAGAGAAAACAGCACCTCGCTCAAAGAAAAGGAAGAAAGATGAAGAGGAAAAACAAGCTATGTACTCAAATACTGATACATTCACCCACTTGAAACAGGTGAGTTATTTGGAACAACTCCTTTAAAAATTCAAGGGAGAGAGCAAATGCTTTTTCAAACTCTATTAATACTAAACTTTTTATTGTGATCATTTCCTAATTAAAGTAGAACATTAACAGGGATAAAAAGACAACTCTAAAAGGAACATTAATTGATTTCCTATTTCCAAGCAAAATTACATCTTATCCTATGGGCACCCAAAAATTATAGCAACAGATGGATTGGTTGAGATTTCCTTATATTTAAAAGCAGCAGCGTATGTGCACCAAGAAACAATCTGTCCCTATTACATGTGCCCCTGGAACCAAAGAAATGGAGTTGTTTGACTCTCCCCTATTGTAAACTCTATTCTTACACCCTTGTAGTCGTTACAAGAAGGTGGGAGACAGCCGTTAATAGTCATGATGGTACTTGACCTCAATTTGTCCCCCAATTCTGAAGAGCAGGTCTTTTCCACTCATTCCAGGATTTTGATAGTTGGCACTTTTAAAAGTCTCACTTTTCTCAAGTCTCTATGACTTTAGGTTACCTTAGGTTGTAGAAAGTTGAGAATAGCTTTGTTTATTATGTACATTACTCTTAAATGTGTTTTTCAATAGCAGCTCTCTCTGCTCCCTCTAATGGAACCAATCATTGGAGTGAACTTTGCACACTTTCTTCCTTATGGCAGTGGCCAATTTAATAGTGGGAATCGACTTCTAGGAACTTTTGGCAGTGCTACCCTTGAAGGGGTTTCGGATTACTATTCTCAGTTGATACACAAGGTATGTTTCTTTGCCAAGATGTTGTTTTACTTCATCTTTGGATACCATATCAGAACTGGCAGAGCTTGTTTTGTTTTTGCATCAGATAATCTTATAAATTTTATTAGGAATACTTCACCCAATAAAATTTTAACTGTGTTAAACTTAAATTCTAACATGAACATTTGAAATTGTTGTGTAAGAATACAAATTATAAAAAACATCCATTATGTATTTCCATGGTAGAAGAAATGCTTACTTCCTTATTACCTATATAAATTCTTAAAATGAATCCAAATACATAATAAATAGTGGAAATGTGGTTAGTTTAACCTGAAAATTGAAATTTAAGAAATGTATTTTAGCTAACCATTTAGTCCTAATTACAACTATACACTAATTCTTAGCTACTAAAATAATATAAAAACTAAAACAAGTTCATCATTTGATATTGGTTTTCTAATAAAGTTATTCAATAGCATCATGTGACATTCTGTACTTTACAACTGACTTACATGGAAAGATAATTTTTACAAAAATATTTCAGGGTATCATCAGTTTCCCTGAGGACATTTCTTCTTTAATATTAAATCATTCAATTTTGATGCTCCATTTGTTGTTATTGTTGGCTTTTCTTTTCAGTTAGAACCTGCTCTAACTCTTGAAATGCCTTTTCTCGTGATACAAGCTGTTCTCTAACACCACTTCATTGTCTTCGTGGAATTTTATACATTTGCAAGATTAGTAATTTCACCCTGCACTTATTTGCCTGGTATTCTTGGTAGATTAGATTCCAGCAACCCCTGAGAGACCAGTCAATAAATGACATATTAGTAATAAATGTTAAGCAAGGAGAGATATGTGAAGGAAAACTCCTCGTAACGGAAGATGGGGCAATCTATTTCCATAGTTATACTGCCTTGGAAACCCAAGGAGGGGTCGCTGTGAGTCAAAATCAACTTGACAGCAGTGAGTTTGGTTTTGGTTTTTTGGGATAATTTTTTTATTATGGCTACTACTTTTGCTTTTCTATTAAAGTTTAGATAATTCAGATTCTAATATATGTGATATGAGTTGCAGTTTTAGGTTTTGGGCTACAAATTCTCAGGGTTTTTATTTTTAATAAAATTGAGCATCTTAGTGAGAATTTAATAAAGGGATTTTAAAGAACTTTTTATAATCGGCTGAATTTCAAAGTTATCTTTCCACTGGCTGTAACAGTGAAACTTGTGAAGATTTATTATAGAGGGTAGAATCAGACATAATGGCATTTTTTTCTCAGTTTCAAAGTTAAATCTGACGATGAGAAGTAAGTAAGCAGATACAGTGTCTGTATTATGTCCAAAAAATCATGAGTATATGTTCCAATAAAAAGGTTCCCAGCCTTTTATGCATATTTTTCTTCTTGGGGTACATTTAGGAATGAAGATGCATCTTGATTATGTTCTGTAGCCTTGCTTCCATGTGCTAAAATCTCACAAAACTAAGTTTTAGCAAGGTTTTTCCATGTTTGTTCAGTAGCATATAATTTAAAATTTTTTGGTCTTCTGCAGCAGAATAATTTAAGTAATCCTCCAACACCCCCTGCCTCTCTTCCTCCTACACCACCTCCTATGGCTTGTCAGAAGATGACAAATGGTTTTGCAACAACTGAAGAGCTTGCTGGAAAAGCTGGAGTGTTAGTAAGCCATGAAGGTATGACTTTAGCCTCCAAAATTTACCTTTCTGAGGAGTGTACCTTTGCTGGCTGTGCTGGGTGAACTGGTATTAGAATTGTAACACACTATCCATATATCATTGTTGACTAAATGTGCATGTGGTTTTGTGTCTTTGCTTTTCCAGTTACCAAAACTCTAGGACCTAAACCATTTCAGCTACCGTTCAGACCACAGGATGACTTGTTAGCCAGAGCTATTGCTCAAGGCCCAAAGACAGTTGATGTTCCAGCTTCACTTCCAACACCACCTCATAATAATCAGGAAGAATTGAGGTGAAAGTTTCTTCTTTCTCAAGTATTTTTCAATTATTTATTTTATTATAGTATGTTTGTAGTATAATGTTTGTGGGAATAACAAAGACATGTCAGGAGTAAAATCTAAAAATAATAATTTTTAGAATTTAAAGTTTATAAAACATTGTTACTGTTAATAGTTTGCACATTTTTTTATCTTTTTTTTAATCAACAAATAATAATAAAGAAACATTAAGGGAATGTAAAATCTCCATACTAAATATGCCAAAGATCACTGTCCCTTATAAGTTATTAGTGTGATATATTGGGTTTATTGATGTTTGTAAATATCTTAAGTGTAGGAGCAAAAGTCATAGATATCAGAGAATGCTATTGTAGAAAAGAATTTAAGGACTATCCTGTCCAGTGCTTTTTATCTTATCTCTACCCACAAAGATTCTGATTTAGAAGAATCAGGTTAGTTGATAAATAATCTCTAGATTCAGGGGGTTGTTACATTTTTTCAGATTATTATCTCTTCCTTAGAAAATCTGATAACTGTCTTCCATTTGATGAGACATGAACTTAGTCTAATCCCTTATTTAATTATTTGGAATCTTGTCAACCAAAGAGAAATAACTTGTCCAAGTTTAGAATCTTGGTTTCCTTTCTTTCCCCTATACCTCACTGCTAGAAACTCCCAAATTTGTCAGTAGGGAGCTGCCTCTCAGCAGCTGTGGGAGACAGTGCCTTGGTCTACATGTTTTCTGACCGAGGGCAGTTATTTGCTATCTCCCTGGATTTCCAAGGGGCTGTGTCTTTAGAACTTGCTTCCAAACTGAAACCAAACTCACTGCCATTGATTCGATTCTGACTCACAGCAACCCACATTGGGCTTCCGAGGCAGTAAATCTTTATGTAAGTAGATTGTCCAGTCTTCCTTCCACAGAGTGGCTGGTGGATTTGAACCTCCAACCTTCTGGTTAGCAGTTAAATGCCTTAGGAACTACACTGCCAGAACTCTTTAGGACTTGCTTGGGTTTCCTAATAATGTTTCTCCTCACATTCACCTTCTGCATGACAGCATGTGTTCTGGTAGAGCTTATGGGAGACATCAGAGTCGTGGGGATATTGTATAACTTTTAGCCTCAGACTACTCTAACTCTCAAATCACAATTGCCTTGGTAAACCCTGCCCACCTGGACTAGACAGGAGGGGCTCATCTCTTCTTCCTTTTCACCTTACTTTATCAGTTAAAGAGTTCTGGTGACTCAGTGCCTAAAGCATTTACTAACCAGAAGGTTGATGGTTCAAACCCACCAGGCCACTCCATGGAAAAAAAAAAGGTGGGACAGTCTGCTTAGGTAAAGATTTACCACCTTGGAAACCCAGTGGGGGTTGCTATGAGTCAGAATCAACTAGATGGCAGGGTTTTTTTTTATTTTATCAGTTAAGAGAAATCAAGGCCCAGTAAAGCCATAATGACCACATTTCCTCCCATTTTGCTATCATAAACAGCTTTAACAGGATAGCTGTACTTTCAGCTACTGCTGCCTGATAGCATAATAAGCTCTGTGCATGCATAACTGTTGAATGTGTGCTTGGACTATTTTTTCCTTTTTCAAGGTATAGGATTGTTCCCATAGTCCTAGTGATCTGGAGTTTTGCAGAGGTGTGCTTTTTATGTAGTCTGCATGTCTTCCCTCTCAGGCAGATCTTCAAACTTTGTTGCTGAAGCTTTGATAGAAAGGAAACATACCATTTATATTATACCTAAACACATTTTTCTATTTTTTCCAAAAGAGACTCCATTTGACCCTGAACAGACTCATAATACTACTTACTGTCACAGCCATTGCCCAAAGCAATATTTGTAGGACAGGTATAAGAAACCCTCAGTGGGGGATTTGCTTGTGTTGATGTGTTGGTTCTTATTCTTGTTGCAGGTTACAGGATCACTGTGGTGATAGGGATACCCCTGACAGTTTTGTTCCCTCGTCCTCTCCTGAAAGTGTGGTTGGTATGGCAGTGAGCAGATACCCAGATCTGTCGTTAGTCAAAGAGGAGCCTCCTGAACCTGTACCCTCCCCAATTATTCCAATTCTTCCTAGCAATACCGGGAAAAGTAAGGAAAATACTTAGCCTTATTATTTTTGCTTACAATATGCTGATTTACTAATGTAAATAGTTTGATTTTGAAAAGCCATTAACAATTCTTTCTTTGTTTCCTCCTTTCTTTTTCTTCTTCCTCCCTTCCCCTCCCCTCCCCCCAAGGTTTAGAATCTAGGAGGAATGACATCAAAAGTGAGCCAGGCACTTTATTTTTCACATCACCTTTCGGTACATCCCCAAATGGCCATAGATCGAGCCTTATATCTGTAGCAATTACTCTGCATCCTACAGCTGCTGAGGTAAAAGATCAAATAACTTTTTTTAACATTGTATCTTGTGTCCCTGTTTTTAAAGATGTATCAGGTGGCTTACAATGAAACATATCCAGTAGGGTCATGAGCATAAAAGATCAAAAGTGAGAGGCTGGATTCACTTCATGCATCTCAACTACTTTTGAGGAACTTTTACTCAGTCTATGTCAAGACATAAAGGATAAAATGAGTTAATGTTCTCATTTTTTGATACAAGGAAGTATATCTTAGCTCTTTTGAGAGAAATCTTTTCATAACCCTTAACATTGTAGAAAATTAAACAAAGGCACTTTATCAACAATTAAAATTTTACAGAAATGAGAAGTGTTCTTATTTTTTTGTTTGTTTTAAAACTCTTAACTCTGTAAAAATATTTTGTTGGAGAACCTAACTTAATATAAGGTTCAGTGAAGTGACATTTTGGCCAACTACATAGTATAGCAACACTACTTAGCATAGCACTTGAGCATTTGTGAACTGCTTCAAACCTTTGCCTAGAGCTGGACAGAAACCAAAAAAACCAAACTCATTGCTGTCAAGTCGAACCCGACTCATAGCGACCCCTCCTTGGCTTTCCAAGGAGGTATCACTATGGAAGTAGATTGCCCAACCTTCCTTCCGAGCAGTGGCTGGTGGGTTTGAACCACCAGCCTTCTGGTTAGCAGTCAAATGCCTTAGGCGCTATGCTACCAGAGCTCCCAAAGCTGGACAGAAGCCACTTAAAATAGCTTTCTGACCAACTGTAAAAACTAACAAGCCTCAGCACATCCCTTGCAGTTATGTCCTTCATACCTGTCAGAAAATAGAATATCTGAAATATTTTAAAGCTCTCATAAATATTTAGTGTTTGAATCCCTTTATGAGGGTTTCTGTTTATGAAAGCTTTATTTAAATATTGGTCCATTAAAAGAAATGTTTTGACTGAAACCCTTTTCAATGTTAAACCCTTTACGTTGTTGGGTTTTCTTGCAATAATGTATCCTACAGATGGCATTTACCCTAAGTATTTCTTTCTCTTAAGTTATCCTCTTTTGATTTCTGGGTGGGTTACACAGTGCTTTCATTTTATTTTAGAACATTAGCAGTGTTGTGGCTGCATTTTCCGATCTTCTTCATGTCCGAATTCCTAACAGCTATGAGGTTAGTAGTGCTCCAGATGTTCCATCCATGGGTTTGGTCAATAGCCACAGAATAAACCTAGGTTTGGAGTATCGACAGCACTTACTTCTTCGTGGACCTCCACCAGTGTCTACAAACCCTCCCAGATTAGCAAGTTCTTACCAGCTAAAGCAGCATAATGTACCATTTCCTCCAACAAGCAATGGTGAGCTAGTTTACTTTTTGTTAAATGTATTTTTGATTCAAAAATTAAGCTTATTTTTTTAAAATCTCAATTTTTAAACAAAAAGCATATAATATATTTGTGCATGACCCTTGTAAATTAACCTTATATAGATGTTCTATTTTCTGTGTTAGTACTTTGGGATAGATGTGTGTGTGTGTGTGTATGTGTGATGCTGTCAACCAGTAAGTATTGATTGCCAACTATCTGCAAAGCACCGTTAGAGGAAGTCTGTGACTTTCTTACCCTTAAGCATCTTTTGTTCTTCCTCATTCCCCTAAATCTCCCATCCCACATTCTGTTTCCTTCATGTTGTGAGGCTGGCAACTTTACTTGTATTCTTTTTTCCTTGTTTCCTGCATCTTCTGTCACAAGTTAACTACTCTTTTACGTCTGTATTATATCCACAGAGCCCTTCTCTTCCTATTAGATGTATTTGTGCCTCCCCTGTCCCTAAGAAAACTTCCTCAGACTGTCCATGACACAGTTTTCCTTCCTGTCTCCCTGGAAATCTGAGGAGAGTGGTCTTAGGTATACCTTCATGGCCTCACCATCTCTTCAGTAACTAGTTTCCTTGTCATCTTGTTTCTCTCCTTACCCTTCTACTAGATGGAATTTAGCATTTTACCATTTTCCATCTTTGAACTTTCTTTGGAAATATGCCCATCTTGCATTTTTGAACTCTTAGCCTCTGCTTCTACAGTTCTTATTTTCTTCCTGCTTCTCTTTACTTTTTCTGCCTTCACATACCCTATGATAGTTGTACCAGTGAATCATGCTCTGTTCTCTGAGCATGGACAACACTATAATCTCTAAGTCTTTATTTACAATTACATCTTGGCTTTGGATATAAATTGTCATGTCCTGGCTGTTCAAGAATAGACATGTTTTGTTTATTTCTACCCCAGTCTCATCCGTATAATAGATGTCTTACAGTCATAGCTTAGAAGATTAAACTTCTGTTATTTAAAGAAAGGATAATACAGGGTAACTTATAATGAACTATGTTGTAATAAATTGATAGAACATAATCTTACATGGTATATCTTCTTGTTTTATTACTCAATTTTAATTACTAACAAAAGTCTGCTACCTTTAGGTCTTGCTGGATATAAGGATTCAAATCATTGTATTGCAGAAGGCTCGGCACTCAGACCACAATGGTGTTGTCACTGTAAAGTGGTAATTCTGGGTAGCGGTGTGCGGAAATCTTTCAAAGATCTAACCTTTGTGAGCAAGGTACTTGCTAGCTACAATAGATTGTTAAATTGGTTATTATAAGGACCACATACTTTAAAATAAATTTTAAAATAATAGTAAAGTTTATTTCTGTAAATTTATTTCTCTTTGGCTAAATTATTATATTCTAAATATTGGGGCATAGTTAACATTTTACTTTAAAAATAAATAACTGCTTTCACTTTGGATGTAACGTAAAAGTCAACAGTGCTTAGATTCTGTATTTGTTAAATTTTGACTTGTTAAGAATCCCACACATTTCTCTTTGATTTTCAGGATTCCCGAGAAAGCTCCAGTAGAATGGAGAAGGACATTGTCTTTTGTAGTAATAACTGCTTTATTCTTTATTCATCATCTGCACAAGCAAAAAGCTCAGAAAGCAAGGTAAAATGAGGATATTCTGAATTCACTCAACAATACATGAGTGGGTTCTGGGAATATATTATTGAATGGTGATGTTGTGTGCTGTCAAGTCAATTCCATGCAACCCTGTGTGTGACAGAGTAGGAACTGCCCAATAGGCTTGCCCAGGCTTTAAACAGACATAACCTAAGACATAGTCTGGTAGGCAGATGACATAACCTTGCTTGCTAAAAATGAAGAAGACTTGAAGCATATAATGAAGATCAAAGTCTATAGTCTTCAGTATTGATTACCCTTCAACATAAAGAAAGCAAAAATCCTCACAATTTTATCAATAAGCAACGTCATGATGTATAGGGGAAAGATTGACATTGTCAAGGATTCATTTTACTTGGATCTGCAATCAATGCCCGTGGAAGCAACAGTAAGGAAATCAAATGACATATTATACTGGGCACATTTGCTACAGAAGATCTCTTTACAGTGCAGAGATGCCACTTTGAGGACTAAGGTGCACCTGACCCAAGCCATCGTGTTTTCAGTCTTATATGCATGAGAGAGCTGGACAATGAATAAGGAAGACTGAAAAAGTTGATGCATTTGAGTTAGGGTATTGATGAAGAATATTGAATATTCTTTGCATTAGCAGAAGAACAAACAAATCTGTGTTGGAAGAAGTACAACCAGAATGCTCCTCAGAAGTTAGGATTGTGAGATTTTATCTCATGTACTTTAGACATGTTATCAGCAGGGATCAGTCCCTGGAGAAAGACACTGTGCTTAATAAAGTAGGTCAGTGGAAAAGAGGAAGATCCTGAGTGAGATGGATTGACGTAGTGGCTATAACAGTAGGCTGAAACATAGCAGTGATTGTGAAGAATCAAAACTCTCAGAATGATTGTGAGGTAGTTTCATTCTGTTGCTGATAAGGTTGCTATGAGTTAGAACCTACTCTATGGCAGCTAACAACAACAAAACAGTCTTTATGGGAGCAAATTGGTAGATCTTTCCTCCCATGGAAGCACTGATGGGTTCAAACAGCAACCTTTCACTTAGCAACTTAGTGCTTACCCATTATACCACCAGGACTCCTTCATGGGGTTCTCTGTAGGGAATCCTAAACTGATGGTGATCAAGTTGAGAAAGAGAAGTTATAAAAATCCTTGATAAAGCTGGTATTTGAAATTAAATGAGCTTTAACTTATTTGACAATAGTGGCAGATTTAAATTATAGTTTAAAAACTCAGAATTTAAAACATGAAGTTCTTTAATTTTACTAATTTAAGTTTGAATATCTTTAATTATAAAAAAAAATTGCTTTTATTAATCTTACCCTAATAGGAAAACCTATGCAAAAACAAAATCCAAGTTTATTCATATATTTTAAGACAAAATACTTTGCTCAAACCATAATGGAAAAAGTAGTTTACTTGATTCTGTATAATTTAAGTGTATTGAAGTGTGTGGCTAATACAAAAATGTATTTTTTAATCATGTCTTGAAGGAAATTTTTTTCCTGTACAGAAATACTGTCAGTACTGCCTCTACCATCACTTTCTTAGAAGAACATTCTGGAGACTTACTTTTTAACAGGAAGTAGTCCATGATATAATGAAATCTAAGCTTATATGCCAACTACATTTACACTTTAAAAAACAAAAAACTTGTTTGTGTTTTCACCATTTGGATTACTTAAGTCATTGTGCACTGCCTGCCTACTTCTGGGTTTTATGTGATATTTGTCTTCTTTTCAAACACCTTGTGGGATTTGGGGCGGGGGGGGGGGTGTATGTGAGAAAAGGGGAGTTGGGAGAGAACTGTGAGCTTAGTATTTATTTATTCCGTTGTTGATAAGGTTGCTATGAGTTAGAACCTACTCTATGGCAGCTAACAACAACAAAACAATCTTTATGGGAGCAAATTGGTAGGTCTTTCCTCCCATGAAAGCACTGATGGGTTCAAACAGCAACCTTTCACTTAGTAACATAGTGCTTACCCATTACACCACCAGGGCTCCTTCATGAGGTTCTCTGTAGGGAATCCTAAACTGATGGTGATCAGGTTGAGAAAGAGAAGTTATAAAAATCCTTGATAAAGCTGGTATTTGAGGGTTCCAGCAAGATGGCAAACTAGGCAGAAAGACTGCACAGAGCCTCTTCAACAAAGAAAAGGGAAACCAATTAACACAGACACAGAAGATAATCTTGGAACACTGAGCCTTGAAGGGAAGGATATAGAAGTGG